AAGCTTCTGTTGGCAAACCAGCTGTTGTTGTCACCCAGCTGCTGTTAGCAAACCAGCTGCCGCTGGCAAATCAGCTGTTGTTGCCAATCCAGCGACTGCTGGCGAACCAGCTGCCACTGGCAAGCCAGCTGTTGTTGCCAACCCAGCTGCTTCTGGCGAACCAGCTGTTGTTGTCAACCCAGCTGCTGTTAGCAAACCAGCTCCCGCTGAAAAATCAGCTGTTGTTGCTAATCCAGCTGCTGCTGGCGAACCAGCTGCCGCTGGCAAACCAGCCGTTGTTGCCAATCCAGCTGCTGCTGGCGAACCAGCTGTTGTTGCCAATCCAGCTGCTGCTGGCGAACCAGCTGCCGCTGGCAAACCAGCCGTTGTTGCCAATCCAGCTGCTGCTGGCGAACCAGCTGTTGTTGTCAACCCAGCTGCTGTTAGCAAGCCCGCTCCGGCTGAAAAATCAGCTGTTGTTGCCAGTCCAGCTGCTGCTGGCGTACCACCTGCCGCTGGCAAACCAGCCGTTGTTGCCAATCCAGCTGCTGCTGGCGAACCAGCTGTTGTTGCCAACCCAACCTCTGTTAGCAAACCAGCTGCTCCTGGCAAACCAGTTGTTGCCAATCCAGCTTCTGTTGGCAAACCAGCTGTTGTTGCCAACCCAGCTGCCGCTGGTAAACCAGCTGTTGTTGCCAACCCGAATTCTGTTAGCAAACCAGCTGTTGTTGCTAATCCAGCTGCTGCTGGCGACCCAGCTGTTGTTACTAACCCTGCTGCTGTTGGTAAACTAGCTGCTGCTGGCAAACCAGCTGCTGTTGCCAACCCAGCTTCGATTGGTAAACCAGCTGCTGCTGGCAAACCAGCTATTGTTGCCAATCCAGCTGCTGCTGGCAAACCAGCTGTTGTTGCCAACCCAGCTTCTCTTGGCAAATCAACTGTTGTTGTCAATCCAGCTGCTGTTGGTAAACTAGCTGCTACTGGCGAACCAGCTGTTGTTGCCAATCCAGCTGCTGCTGGCGAACTAGCTGCTGTTGTTGTTGAACCAGTTGCTGTTGTTGCTGAACCAGCTATTGTTGTCAACCCAGCTGCTGCTAGCGAACCAGCTGCTGCTGTTGTTGCACCAGTTGCTGTTGTTGCCAACCCAGCTGCTGTTAGCAAACCAGCTCCCGCTGAAAAATCAGCTGTTGTTGCCAATCCAGCTGCTGCTGGCGAATCAGCTGCCGCTGGCAAACCAGCTGTTGCCGCCAACCCAGCTGCTATTGGCGAACCAGCTGCCGCTGGCAAACCAGCTGTTGGTACCAACCCAGCTGCTGCTGGCAAACCAGTTGTTGTTGCCAATCCAGCTTCTGTTGGCAAACCAGCTGCCACTGGCAAACCAGCCGTTGTTACCAGTCCAGCTGCTGCTGGTGAACCAGCTGCTGTTGTTGTTGAACCAGTTGCTGCTGTTGTTGAACCAGTTGCTGTTGTTGTTGAACCAGCTGCTGCTGTTGCTGAGCCAGCTACTGCTGTAGTCAATTGAGCTGTTTCTGTAGTCATCCCAGCCGTTGCTATAGTGGAACCAACTTCTAC